TAATAATTCAGTTTTAATAGCGTTGTTGAGGAACTGAAAGACAGTAAAACCATGTAAAGGAGTATTTATGTTCAGAACCTTTCTTCATTTAAATAAACCAAAAAGTGAAAGAATTTGTAAAAATTATGTTGCCTTTAATGGTGAATTTTTCGACTTTAATTCTCTTTTTACAAAATAAGTGTGAACTGCGAGTAATCTTTTTCAAGCTGGTCTTTTAAGCTCTCGTCGGGACGCAATCCTCTACAGCAGGGGTTTCCAACTTACATGAGGCCGGGGGCCGCAATTAAAAACACCAGTCAAATGGCGGGCCGCAACTTCACAAAAATTTTATACAGGACTCTTGTACGTCTGAATGAACATTAAATATTACCGTTAGATTTTTATCAAGTTGTACAAAACAAACGTATTGAATTACAAATTAAAATCAAAAGTAGATTTTTAAGATTTGTATTTGAAAAAATATTTCTTGGATGCAATACCTGAGAAATAAATTATTAAGAGCCGATGGTATGCAAAATTTCACAGAAACGAAGAAATTAGTTTTTTTTTTTTTTTAACGAAAGAAAAGTATTTTAAACCTATATAGATTTTTTACGAAAATTGTCCGCAAAAAATGACAACTAATATATTTTAGTTCGCTGGCCGGATTTGGCCCGCTGGCAGCAAGTTGGTAACCGCTGCTCTACAGAGTACTTCGAATTAAAAAGCAATTATCCTAAAATTGAAAAAAAAAATTGAGCCCATCTATATATTAAAACATTAAGTTTATTATTATATTATTATTCTTTCTATTAAACTCAAATGCATAGGGGAAGATAAACATGAAGAAATATTCTTAAACTACCATAAATAAGTGAAGAGATGTGCGAAGTTACTAATCCATAGATGTAGAATTCTAAAGTAAAAATCAATTTCTCTCAATCATATCTATTCTAAGTCAAATAAATTCTGTTGACTTGGAGATATCCTTTTGCAATCTGCACCATCCGTATAACTCTCTCCCTTTTGAAAATCATCCCCCCAAGGAAAGAAGGTCCCATGCAGAGGGGAGGGGGATGTTATAGGGGGATTATATGTTTACATTCTCAGCTTCAAATGAAAAATATATAGCTTTGGAATAATAAATGATCGTTGAAGTGCGTCTTCACAAATTAAATAAGTAATGAATTCTCTCGAACGAAAAAAAATTCCAGTGACGAAAAGTATTTTTTGCAAATTTTGCAGTCATTTCTTTCATAACGTTTTTATAGGATTCATTAAAGATAATTTTTTTTTCTAAATGTTAAGGAAAAATTATTCAAGCATTGAAATTTTTTGTCTCTAATTTCCGAAGCAACAATTTTTTTTCAAATTTTATAGTTTTTTTAATATTGTAAAAAATTCAATTTTTGCGGACGAATTTAAATTTGAGTAGAACCAGTTATCTTTTGAGTGAGTTTTAAATTAAAAAAATGGAAATAATTTAAATTAAATAAATAATATAAATGGTGGATTCTCGAAGAAAAACCAGAGCACTCACAACTCATGAACATTGACACTATGAAAATTTTTAATCTTATAATCCAATTATAACTGGTAAATATTTATAATAACTAATAATATAAGTATAATATAATATAAATATAATATATAGTATATAGTATAATATAAATAATAGCTGATAAAAAGATATTTGCCAGTTTAGAAGAGAAATAAACTTGTTTGAATTATTCGTAATGAGTTAATTACGAGTCGAGTCATAGCTATATCACTAGAAACAAATTTCCTTCTGCGCCCAAAGAAATGAAAGGAACTAAGAGTGGAAAATTTAAAGATTAGAAGTAAAAAAAGTATAAAGAAAAATTGAACAGAGAATTTGAATGAATAAAGGAAAGTTATACAATGCTTATGACCATCCAATATGAGGTAAATCTATAGTCTATTGATGTCAGAAAAACACTACAGCAAAAAAATAGAGAAAGTAACCTAAATTTTCAAACAATGCTAAATTCTAATTTAAAATTTTTCTAATAAAATATACTACGACCGTAAGACCTTTCTGTAAATTTTTTAAAAAATATCTATAACTCTGGTTTAATAAAATGTCTGATTTGGATTGAAGTAAGAAAATAAAATATAAATGTAGTAATTTTAAAAAACATTATTTAGAAAGTCCATTTTTTCTTCTAATTATTACGACTTCTGCGAATTCAATGAAACATTAAAATGTAACGATGATTATTAATATCGTAAAAAAAAAATTAATAAAGTTCTTTCTAAATCCAAATGGACTCCATTTTCAAAAATAATGGCTCATCTTTTCTAATTGTAGATAATCCGGTTTATAAAATCAACCTCTTTATGAAATCAAAATCATAACGGTCGTGATTTTAGCACTAGAACAACTGAAACTTAGTATGTACCTATATTGCCCAAAAGCAGTCAAATTGACTGGATTGTGCGTGTAAAGAAATTTGTAAAAAATCAATTTTTAATGTTTTTTATATTATTTACAGTTACATAACAAGTTATTAGTAAATATTAACAATAAAAGAAACTATATGCTGTACAAAAAGTCACAAAATTCTAAGAAATTTTTTCATTGTCATTATATACATCATTGTTTTTCCAATTTAAATTAAAAGCAGTCAAAATGACTTCCTTAGGCAATCTAGTGTTAATGAGTGGTGATGACTATACAATGCATTCCACAACTACTATATTTTTTGCCAACTGCTATAACAACTTCCCCCCCCCCCACTACTAAGGAATATTTGTTTCTTCAACCACTGAATTTCTTTCATTGCTGGAAAAGATTGTTGATTGCGTATTTTGTGAGTGCAGGAATTTTAAGTCTAAAAATGAGTGGTCCATTAGAAGTGTGGTCTTAATGGACCCCACTCGTTTCAGAGGGTCATTTTGCAGAATAGATCCCCAAATGGAGGATTAATCTCGGGATTTCTCATTTTCCATTGATTTTTATGGAACCACCACCTGGTCATATCCATTTCAGGAGTTCTATTTCATTGATTTCTTTTCTCTTCAACACAATTATCAGTTTCATTTATTTATTTTTGTTCGATTCATTCATTTTTTTTGTCTTTCTAAAACAAGTTTACGAAGTTAGTGTTTACGTTGTACATGCTTACATTCAATTTCAATTTCAGAAATTTTATAACTGTCGTTGATCAGTCGATCCAATTTTGGGTTCAAGACTATTAATGTTCTACTCCGTAGTCTCGTGATTTTGAACCCAATCCAGAAGACGGGGGAACTCCTGGATCAAGTACTGGAACAAATTTGTCTTCGTGGTGGACGTTTTGATGGACCGAAACGTCATTTGCATTATATGGAGAGGAAAACCACGAAAACCTTTCATTATTAAATTTTTATTTCATCATTCCTGATAGCTCTAAGAACAACATTTAAAAAGGAAATTAAAAAATAATAATTACATAATAGGATTATTGACCCTATTAGATTTAGACAAAGTGTTATTCTTCAACATTTTGTCTAAAAAGTGACTGTATCTGTCACTAATGTCCCTTTAAAACATTTACAAAGTGAACAGAAGTGACTATTCGAAAGATATTTTATAACAGTCATTGATCATATGACCCACAGTGTTCAACTCCGTAATCTTGTAATTTTGAATGTAATCCAAAAGACAAAGTAATTCCTGGATTGAGTATTGGGAGAATTTCTCCTTCGTGAAGGATTTTTTAATGGAACGAAACCGCATTTGCGTTACATGGAGAGGAAAACTACGGACGGCAATGGGACTCTAACATTTATTCCGTTTACCACTGAGGATATTTTAAGTCAGCACTGCGGTCGGTGCAAGACGGCTACGGAATTCGAAGGAGCAGCCATCGCTGAGATTTGAACCCGGTTCACCTCACTGGGAGGCAAAGGCTCTATCTCCTGAGCCATCGCGGCTATCAGAAACCAATAGATGTTTTACTTTTTTTATTTATTTACTTACTTATTTATTTATTTTGATATTTCAAATTTAAGATACTTATAGGATGTATCGGAGGCTCTACTCTGAGTTGACGCCAACATCGCCAACACGAACGTTGGTTTCCATAATCAATAAATGCCGGACTTTAATATCACGATGCATTGCATAATATTGCCATTTAATAATATATCGCGGGATTCAATAATATCGTTATCTAAACAAAATCTGTCAACATTCACGATCATATCGTTTATAATAACTATTGTAGTGTATATTATTCATGATGTAATTTTTTTTGATATGTTAGGTTTTTGATAATAATCTCGATATTTTCCTATTCGGCAATAATAGTTTAATAATAACTATCGCGATGTTTCCCTATTAGTTATGTAGTGTTATCATAAATGATCACAATAATGTAGTACTTGATACACATAAGTATATTATGAGTAACCAATGACCTGTATAAACCGGAAACTGGCTTTGCTGGTGAACGAGTTGGCGAACTTAGCTTCATAATCTCTAAAACCGATAACAATCTATTTAAGGAGAATGTTGTGCTCTGATATAATTAGTGATGATCTGAAATGAATAATTCTAAGAAACTGAAGCGGAAATACTTGCCAATCGAAAAATTTCCTTTGATTTACAAAGTTTGAAAAATTCGATCGCTCAAAAATAAGGCGCCCATTCTCATGACTCTCCTGACATGAATGAGAAAAGAAACAGATTTAGAAAAAGATAGCGCAAAGTTGCGTACTGAATATGAAAATAATAACGATGAAGCACTAAACAATACGGAAGCACTAAACGGTATTGGTCGAGAGAGCATATCAGGGCAGGCTGCATTTCCAAGTGGTATGGAGAGTTGCGAGGAACTCGTGCTCTAACGACTTTCCGACAGCTGATGTTCACAGATCTAAATGCGAGTGAATCAAAACGTAGTATCAAATATTACAACTTATTGCTATTGCTGATTTAAATTTAAAATTTTCTAACTCGTTATTATCTTGCATTAGTTTGAGATAGCACACGCCATGCAAATGAGAGATCTTACCTGGTGCACAAAAACGTCAGGTCCGCCGTCACTTGGGGTTATGAACCCCCATCCTTTAGCTACGTTGAACCATTTGCATTTACCCCTTCTTCTTCCTCCATCCACCATTTCATTTCCGCCTCCTGCAGCTAGAAGGAAAAAAAATGACATATGAAAAATGTGCATATGAATATAATCAAAAATTACGTCTGAAATATTGATTTACCACCACGAGAAAAACCATCGCACCTGAAAATAAGCGAGGAAAAAAAATGCCGTTGGCAAAACTCCTTTATTTGTGCTTTATTTCCATTGTTTTGCTTCATTACAAAACGGTGTCATTTTGTGTTCAAAACACTTCTTGTTTATAGAATGAAAACTGCAGTACATTCATTTGTGCTTTATTTAAGTTCTCTTGCTTTTTTTTTCAATTCCTACTATTAGTTCAAACTCTCCCTCTATCTTGTTCAAATTTTCAATCGTTAATAAAATACTTTTTAGTCATCTCCACTCAAGTTCAAATAATTTTTTTTTAAACTAGTAGTGGATGACACTTTATGTTAATACAGTTATTTCAAATATTAATTCATTCATTAAATTTAATTAATTAATTTTTGTCTTATATGGGATATTGTAATTATTTAATAAAAAGTAACTAAAATGTTTTCTTTGTTGACCTAAGTGAGAATTTTTTTTTTAATATTACTTGTTCACTGGTAGCACAAAATTTACCTTATCCTCATTTGAATATTTCATTTCTCCTTTTGTAACAATTTTTCTGACGAATATTTTGGTAACAGATATTTTGTACCCCCTAAAACAGAGGTAAACAGCGCTTCTCCATACCACAACCAACGAGAAAGCTTTCAGTCACGACAGAGTTTAACGTGCACTTGCCGCTTTTTTAGTCGGTGCCAGGATTTGACTCACAATCTTCCACCAGCGGCATGTTGTTTCCTTAACCAATCGTGAAGCCATACTAACATATTGCCACCTTATGGATTTTATAAGAAATTAAAATAATCTTTTGATATCTAACTATACATGAAAATCTAATGATGGTGTCACTGTTTTCTATTGTTGTCGGTGCATTTTTATTGGCCGGAAAATCAGGTGGTAGGATTTAGTTTTCCGTCATCCATTTCCATACTGCTTTGGTTGTCATCAGCATAAAATTAATAAAAGTTATAAGGGTATTGTTGCGGGTTCGCATAAGCGATATTTTATAAGAAAGCAAGGAATATTTTTGTTGTAATAAATTAGCAACATATTACAAAATTATAAAAAATGCAGAAAAAACAATCGATAAGTGAAAAGAAAAACTATGTCTAAAAATAGTTATTCTTCCTATGTAAAATGTCCTCGTCCTGTAAATAAATGTGCTCTTGTCTAAAACAACCTGTTTCTTCTTTTTGTGACTCCAATATTGGTATAAAATTCAAAGTTCGACTTCGCAACAGGTATTGTTTTTGTATCCTTAATTTAAAGGTATTTTCCTGTACTGCTATTATTACACTTTTGATATAAGAATTTATAACTAAGAGAATTATTTTTATTATTATTATTACATGGCTGCCAACTCTACTGAATTTTCTGTAGACTAGTGGATTTTGCCACTATCTCCTGGTCTACTGGTTTAATAAAAATTATCGCGGTTTTCGTACATTTAAAAAAAATTCTCTGAAAATGAGTATGCTTCTTAAGAAATCTGTATTGAAATTGAATTTTTGTGTAAATTATTAGTTACTTAAATATTTACATTACTGTCAATAATACATAAAGCGAGCCTCATTCATAAAATTCTTTGATGAGTTAAACGCCTATTCATATTCAAAATTATGAGTGAAAATAATACATAATATTTCAAGTTCATTTAAAGTCCATCATTACTGGAATATATTACAGTTTTTCTGTTTTGATGACTATAAAAATCCCTAAAATTCCCTATGTTAATGCATGATGCAAGAATTATCATGAAATATATATTATTTCATAAAATCTACTGGATTTTTTCCTATCCACTGTGTGTCCATGTTGGCAGCTTTGCTATTATTATTATTGTAAAAAAATAGTATAATATGTAAGAAAAGATAGTATAATATATCTGTCCGTTTAGTAAGAGAAAATATTAAATTACGGTTGTGAACTCATCAAATTTATTCCTCTTTTATCGTTCAATTTGTTCGAGACAAAATATAGCCCCAAGACCAGAAAAAAAAATTACGGCTTTGCATAGAATTTCTAATTTCAAATGTGCTTCGATAATTAAGAACTTTGCAATGGAAAAGTGATGAGATAGCAGAAGTAACACTGAAAACAACATAGTTTAATTTTTATTTTTTGACATTTTAATCTTTTAAAAGAATGGGGAAGTGACGTAATGTGGGTATCTCGATCCTGATTGGTTGTTGAAACAAGGCTTTTGTTTACGTTAACAACTGTTCTTTCAATTCTGTTTCGAGTGAGCCCAGCCCGTCAAGTATCAATTGTCTTAAGTGACACATTCTATATTCATTCAAAAAGAGTTCAATTCTTTCACTAACTATATATACATTTCTTAAAAGAAAGACAAGCACGAAGTCACGTGGAACATAAGCAAACTAATTGGACATCGAAGTTGCCAGATACACAAAGCAAAAATATATCACGGTTACAATAACATGCATAAACAAATAATAAATCTAAGTTAAATAAAAGATGGAGAAGAGAAAGAATTATATTTCTACAACTTCCATGTGTGATACGGACCTGTATTTAATTAAAATCACGTTAATTAATAGTCTTATTTATGCAGAGAAACTTGGTTCAACTTTAACACGATATTTTGCTTATAAATGATCAGCTGGCATTGATATCATATGTCACATGTGTGGGTTTTACGATCTTCGGGTATTTGAAGAGTAAATACCCAATTATGAAATTTTATCATTCATAATTAACCAAACCTCATGATAAAATTTTGCGCAAAGTATAAATATTTAATTTATAATATCGGTACTACAAAAGCTGGAATTGTTTTATGATTAAATATGTCGAGATATTTATTAATCAAATACTCCTTATACTTTTATTCTAAATATACTCCTATCTAAATGTTGTAACATAACAATGCAATAATCAATTGTTGTCGATACTTAAAATCTAATTTTCTATTTTAAATAGAGAGAAAATTTATTACAAATTTTGCTTTAAAGTTTGAAACTACTCCCCAAAATTTGATTTTTATAAGTTTAACACTAAAACATACCAACACTTAGTCTCTACCTATTTCTACCATAATCGGTCAAATGATTAGGAGGAAGGAAATAAACTAAAAGAACTTTATTATAATCAAACAAAATTGTATATTGCCCATTTTTATGTATTACAAGCACAAAGAATAAGAATTTTTAATTCATTGATCAACACAATTTTTACATATACAGAGTGTTTCCATTCTACATTTTCCTCAAACATATTTCTTCTAAGTATTATTATTTCTATAATTCTTATAATCATTCTTATAATTATAAGAATATATAAGAATTATAATTTTTATAATTATTCTTATAATTAATATTATTTCTTCTAAGAACTTGTGCTGTCTTGATTGTTTCGGCAATTTTCTGGGTAAAAACTAGCAGTTAGTCATGAACGAAGTATAGCTATCAACATAAAATATAAGCTACTTACCAAAACATTAGTTTTTGTCACTTTTTCTGGCACTGAAATGCTAATCTAAAATTTTAGGTACTTTCTCGAAATGTGAATTCACAGTTATTCTGATTGAACCAACTACGCAAGTGTCTTTGCAGAAATGAGTAACTCATCGAATGCAATACGTTGAGCACGCATTACATCGTAATTTCTGACCCGATAACCTTATAAAGCAATAAATTGTTCTCCCGGTCAAGTGACCGGTTGTGGTAAAAATAGGTACACGACAAGTATTGTTCGGAAACAAACAAATACAAAAAAAAAAAATAGAATATTAACTGTATTGAAAAAATGTGCAAAAACAACAACATGATAACAGCATTTTCGATGCAAAAGTTCCTAAACTATCATTTGACCAGTTATAGTATGCTCAGTTTTAACTATCATTTGTTTCCTAACCGTTTCTTTCTTCCTTACGGAAAAGCACCAAAGAAAAATAAATATTAGATAGGGGAAAAAAAAGAATAAAGAATCCTTCAAATAACCAGAGATTGGGCACAAAAATTAGAGCAATAAAGACAAGAAAGAAAAATGTAATGATTCTTAAGAAGCCAATTTGCAGTAACATAAATTTTAAGCTTATGTACATACATGGTAAAAAAAAAAAATAATAATAAGGAAGAGAGTAACGGAAGAAAACTCCGAGCATCCTCTTGAGCATCCTTCCCTGATTCCCCCCACCCCCATGTAAGAGAATCTTGATGGAGGATCCCTCTTCCAAGGAACAGAGGGGTCCGCGCGTGGCTTTAAACAGTAGTGTGACTAAAGATTCTTTTACCCTTCCCCAAAGTGCCCCTATATTTTTTGCCCCGTGCGCCCCTGACCTTAGAAGAAACATTTTCCTTTTTCGTTTGTCTCCCCTCCCTTCACGATAGGGAACAAAAATAGCTCTTTCCTATCTCCTTCCCTAAAGAAACCGACATTTTTGAGGGAATCTTTACCTAAACAGAAACAGAAAAAAAATACTTGGAAAATATGGTTTATTTGAGAAATCTTACGATTATCAGTAAAATTCTATACAACATTTAATGTAAACAATTTATTTTAGATTATTGACCGAAATTGATCTCGCAATAAATTTAATACAATTGGAAAGATTTAGTGCAAAATTGCACTAGGATACACTTTTTTTAAAATAACATTTTTACAACAGGATGTTCCCTAGTATTGTTTCTTTTTAAGAGCTGTGCAACAAGTTTTTGGAATTTCCCATAGAAAATAACACTTTACTCAGAAACTAATTGTTGCTTACATCGAAATCGTGCATGTTTTTCTTTAAACTGTACAATTTGAAAGCATGGCTTGTAACCCAGTACTTTTCAATTAAATATATTCTGGCAGGCGATTTTCCAATATTCTTACTGAATTCAGTAGTTTTTAAACATAAAGAAGGTTTCACCATTAAAAAGAAGATAAAAATTTACGTGCAAACTCTTTATGATATGAAGGCAAT